CTAACTTTTGGTGAATTTAGGAGAAATCTACAGACGCAAATAGACAAACTATAGTAAAATAAACACTTACATGTGTATTTTGTACGTTTTTCTTCCAAAAGCCTGAAAGAAAACATGTTATGGAATCAAAATAGCACAACATCTCAAAATTGACCAGTGCATGAAAAACGATGTTTTTGCCTGCGGTGTCTCGCCTTTAACAAACAATTTATGCGGCTCGTATCGCTGACAGCCGGCCCGGCCCGGCACCGCCTTTTTTCTTTTTTTTAAGCGGCCTCCTCCCCACTTTTGGCAGCACCCCCTGAGCAAAGTGACTTCCCGCGGCTATGCATTTTTAACATTTTAACTTTAACATTGCGCAGCTCTTTAAGGCAGAGTGCGTGATATCAGAGTTAGAGTGGAGGACAGTTTGAAATTTGCCTTCATATATTTTTTTTAAAATGCCATAATTCCCAAACCCTACATTCCTGAGACATAATTTTTCATGACAAACGTAGGAAAACATCCCGTAGCTTGAAAAATGACAAATAATTAAGCAAAAAATAATTAAACAAAATGCCTCTTGAGGGCATGAAGTGACAAAAACATTCAACATTCCTCCATTGAAGCCCATTGTAATTTCAGGCTGATATTTCCTCACGGCAGCAGCCGCACACCTTTAGTTAAACTGCCAAAAAGGCCACATTATTAAACCGAAAGTACACACAAATTACACTTCAGATACTCAACTTCCTTGACATGCTTCACGTTTTGAAATTTCACAGATATCTCTTACGGTTCTTCCACAAAACGTTCACATGTAAGAGGTTTATCTCTCATTCAGAACAATGGAAACCTGTGATCTCTGCACACCTCGTTAGCTCAAATATAAACACCTGACACGTTCACGGCTGTTTCTGCATGTCAGTCTTAGGTCTTAATGCACGACGGTGTTTTTGATAATGGATCCTGACCACTCAAATTTGTACACTGTGGAGTTAAGCAAATTATATTATTAAACAAATATATAACATAAATACAACAAATACTCGAATTTAGTCTCTTTCCCAGCGCTCTTCATCGGTAAATTTAGCATTTCTGAGTGTCCTTGAACGCATCAATAATAGCAGATGCGTCACACTAAACCCGGGAGAATTATTCTGCTCTGACTCCTGCTAGGTAAGTTCATGTATCCATAAACACCTGAACTTTAAAGTGTCAAATGAACTCTTAAAAAAAATATAACACTCCGTTTGTGTTTGTTCATCAACTGTTTACTGGCGTGAGAACTGATATTAATTTACACATTAAAGGATACAGCGTCTTTGCAGCGTATCCAGTCTTAGCCCGTTAGCATTGCACTAACGGGCTAACGCTGATAGCTAAGTTCATCGCTCCCTAAACAGTTGAACTTTAAAGTGTCAAATTAACTATTTTTCACACACCATTTGAGTTGCACTAAAGTGCCAAGCTTGTCATGTTGTTTATAGCCAGCGGTGCACATAACTTGTTTGCCCTGGTTCTCAAAGGAGCACCTGGAGATGTTGCTTGGTGCTCATCCTTAAAATGAAATAAACCGTAACTTTTGAGGGGGTCTTGACTTTATTTGCCAGACACACGGCACTGAACACACGTGAGGTGAACACAGAACACACATGCAGAGGTGAACACAGAACACACATGCAGAGGTGAACACAACACAACATTAGTACGACCAGTAATCCTACAAGCTGTCATCACTACCCTCCTGACTGTTCTCCTCACGGTCTTCCTCTCTGTCAGACATGGTAGCTGATGATGTAGGCCTACTTCTTCCTCTCTGGTTGAGTCTGCGATTAGCTGCTTGCATCCACAAGTCAACAGCTGGTTTTGGGTCGAAAGTCTCTGTCATCTTAGACAAGTGGATGTAATCAAATAATAAGTATGTGAACATAACCAATAACCTACCATAGCCAATAACAAATGAATGGAACTTATTTTATTTGTGTTGTTCATTCATATCTTATTTTACCTTAACATTTATTTATTTATGCATTTTTTTGTATCTCCAGTTTTAAAGGATATCTTTGGTTACTAACCTATAGTATACATTGGAATGATTTAAAACCTGTTTATCCCAATAATTATAAAGGCGTGCCTTGGAAATATGTGTTTACATAAATTGTGACCAAACCGTTTGAACTTAGACTAAGAGTCCTTTACCTCACTGAGCTGTAGTTCTCAGTCTGACTGGAGAGGACTCTCCCTCCACATTATTGTAGAAACATCTTCTTCTTATATCCGTTAGAGCAGCTAGCACCAGATTCTAATAACAACAGCGCTGGTACCGGTGCACCCTCCCTCTCTCCCTCGCTCACTCGCATTTTGGCTGTGAGCTGCGGGCGCCAGATAAGCCAACATCCCCCATTTTCATCACTTACAGCGCCCATTGTACAGGACAAATGAAACGTGTAACCGGGGTGAAAAGGGTGTTACATTTACTTAATTATGAATATTGTTACATCAAGGCCGAAAATTAGGATGAGCCCCAATGGTCAAAATGTTTTTTTCCCTCCCAGAACTGCTAGCGCAGCACCTCCCCAGATCTGGCGCCCTAGGCGAACATCTAGCCAGGGCTACGGGCCGGCCCTGAGTTCATATCATGGTTCATATGCAACTCGCAAATATCTTTCTCTCTCTCTCTTCTCTCTCTACTCTGTTTTCTCTGTTCTCTTTTCCCTTCTCTCTCTCCCTCTCTCAATGTTGGTACGCAAATGCGCTTTGTTTCAAATGACCCGGTGCTCTTTTTTTGGCTGAGGTGCGCACCTGCGCACCAGTTATGTGCAGCCCTGTTTATAGCAGCTAACTGCAGTATGACTACTCCTGTTTAGGTACCAAAGGATGCTAACAGCCAGTTATTAATGCTAACTTCAGCCTTTAATTAAACATGTAACTCTTGTGCTGCAGTGCTTGTGGTGTAGTGGTACTTGTGGGTTATCTGTTGCCACTTTTGTGTTTTTTTGCATACTTTCTAAATATGCAAAATGAATCTGTGGGACCTGTATTAGCAGCTACGAACAAGCAGTGATGTTAAGTAATTCACTATATTTAATCATGCACTTTACTTAAGTACAACATTGAGTGACTTTTACCTTACTTAACTATTTAAATAATGTGCTACTTTGTTCTTCTACCCCACTACAATTCAAAGGTTAATAGTGTACTTGCATCACCTATTTAACTCTTACAGTCTCTGCAAGTTCATTGTACTGCACAAGTACTGTTGCAGCTGCTAGCCAGCAATAAACTAGATAAGGATACATTTTTTATTTGCAATTCATTTAGGTTTTCTTGACAGATAAAAGCTTAATGTAAAACTGTTAATTAAACATGATAAATAGTTGTATTATTGATTAACACATTTGGCTCAAGTGTGCAGTATTACATATTAAATAGCTTGTGTACATTATTGACAGTTAAGGCTAAATACAGGGAGTTGTATCTGCTGTTCAACACATTACAGAAATAAAAAGATGTAACACTAACATCTTGCTTCCTCTTACAGACAAGAAGAACACAAATAATCTGCGCTTGATTGGTGAGTAAAGACAATCGAAAATGAAATGAAAGCCCAGTGGCGATCTGTTCATCTGTCATACTGATCATTACAGTTAATAACTTTGTTGTTATTAGCATCTGGTTAGCTAGCTATGCTAACGAATATAAGAAGCTTTTTCTCCAACCAGTGAGGTAAAGGCACATCTTTATATGATCATTAGTTATAAAAAAATAAGAGAATAAAGTAAACAGGTATAAAATACTATATGACAGTAAAAATGATTAGTAAACAAGAATACAGTTTGAAAGGGGAGTGATTTGTAAAATATCCATAAAGAAACTAAATACTTTTGCATACATCTTGTGTCCATATCTTTCTGTTTTGGTGGTCATGCCACACCGTGCACATGCATACATGCGTGAGTCATAGTAAGATATCTGGATTAAGAGGTTGCTTTTTCTTTGCACAGCATGAAAGAAAGGCCAAATGAATCTGTGATTTTAGTATTTTTAAGCAGAGATCAATAAATTGTATACGGCCCTCGGAGGATATTGTAAAAATGGAAATGGCCCTTGAGAGGAAAAAGGTTCCCCACCCCTGCTTTAGAAGCTTCATTACGACTGTACAGCTGAATGATACTCTATGAGCTACTTGACGGTTAAAATGTTCTGTACTGCAGAGATAAAATGAGGTTAAACCAGTTTATGGTGAGTTGCTGAGGAGTGGCTAGTGTTTGTGGAATGAGACACACCTGTGTGTTACAGGTGAACAGAGAGAACCAGGAAACACTTTGTCTCTCTGCAGTGAGGAAGAATAACAGACGGTGACTGACTGAACTTCCTGTCTGCTGTGTTTCAGCTTCACTCCGAGACAACATGGCTTCCAGGTTAGAGGAAGATCTCTGCTGTCCGGTCTGTCAGGAAGTCTTTAGAGATCCTGTTCTTCTGTCCTGTAGCCACAGTTTCTGTAAAGCCTGTCTGCAGACCTGGTGGGATGGGAAAGAAGAAAAGGATTGTCCAGTTTGTCGGAGAAAATCCTCCAAAGATGAACCTCCCTGTAACCTGGTGTTAAAGAACCTGAGTGAGACCTTCTTACTGGAGAGAGGTCAGAGATCTTCAGAGTGCAGTCTGCACTCTGAGAAACTCAGACTCTTCTGTCTGGACCATCAGCAGCCAGTGTGTCTCGTCTGCAGAGATTCAGAGAAACACACACCAACCACAGATTCAGACCCATTGATGAAGCTGCTCAGGATCTCAGAGAGGAGCTCCAGAAAGCTCTGCAGCCCTTTCAGGAGAAACTGAAGCTCTTTGAAGAAGTTAAAGGTCCCATGTCATGCTTTTCCGGTTATTGCCCGTCCCCTTGTGTGTTATGAAGGTTTTTATGCATGTAAACAGTCTGCAAAGTCAAAACCCTCAAAGTACACCCTGTAGCGAGTAAACTCTAACACAGAAAATACCTCCCCCAAAAGTCTCGTTGGAGATTTCTCAGTTTCCATTGTTTACTTCCTGCCCCGCGTGACGTAGCTGCACCGCGTGACGTCACTTCCTCTGCCAGCCGACCATATTAAGTGTCGTAAAACCTGCTTCTTTTCAAAGCTCTATCCAGTCATGTCGCGGAGGGTCTGTTGCCTGTATTGTGTGGAGAAATCCACAATGTTTGCAGTACCGAAGGCAGAACCACGACGAAGTCAGTGGTTGACATTCCTTTTTAACACTGTTCCAGCTGATTTACCAGCCGGTACTGTTGTGTGTGCGCGGCATTTCAGGGACCTTAGCTTCGGACTTGCTGTAAAGCTGATATTGGAGGACGATGCTGTTCCTACTTTGTTTGGACCAGCGGGAGATTCGGGTACACAACCTGTAAGTATTCATTGTGGTTTTTGTATTTATTCTGTTTAAAACAAACAATGTATCTACCACGACTCTGTAAATGCTATGCTAATGCTATGCTACCGAGGTAAACACGAGGGCTACCTAGCATTCCCAGACCTCAACACCGATGTTAGCACATGGCCTTACATGTATCTCATAGCAGGAGAATGTCTGCAAACACACACGAAATACTCAGACAGTATACTCCGGGTGATTTAACCGTACGGTCAGTAATTACAGTTGCCGTTCGTGTATTCTACCGAGCTACCATTAATAAGCTAAGCTAGAAGCTCTAACCTAGAGATGTTATGAAAAACATTGTTTTCATGCCAGCTACAATGAATGACCGAACGTAGCAGACTAACTGTATAATATTGCAATTGTAAGATGTTCTTGCTAAGCCTAGACTAGCTGTTAAACTGCATATTAGGTTAGCATATTAGCTGGCAAGCTAACTGTGTTGATTACTGATAGATAATCATAGCTGGAGAATTTCGTCTGCAAACACACACGAAATACTCATAGACAGTATACTCTGGCTGATGTACGGTCAGTCGCCAAACATAATTACATTGACGTTGGCGGTCCTAGCAGCTAATGCTACTGAGCTACAAAGAGTCTGAAATATTACGCTACATGGGAAAAGGTAGCAGACTATCTGTAGAACATTGTAATTGTAAAAGTGTTGCTTTTATGAAATTTTCCTCGGATACAAAATTAATTGTATGAATACTATGTGTATCTTTCTTAGAGTACATCACAACAGGAACACAATACCCACCGCTCCAGTCGGATGTCAAACAGACCGTCCACAGACTGTTTGTGTGGGAACTCAGAGGGTTGAGACACGGTCTGTGGGAACACAGACAGTGGAATGTAAAGTGTCCGCCATTTCTGTTGCTACACAGTTGGCCCGGGGAACACTGAAATCGGCACACGTGAGAAGCAAAGGTAGACTATAACACTGACAAATCACAGATACATTACCTTAATTGTGCTTTTATTACATGTACAGCACTTGGGCTCGACCAAAAATCTTTTTTAAATGTGCTCTATAAATAAAACCGTATTTGATATTATTGTATATCACAGAAATACTGTTATGTTGACTACAAGAAATACAGTGCTGTTTGTAGTTTGTACATTTTTCATGAATTAATCTGTCAGATGTACACAAGTTGTTGGCCTTTTACAATGTATTAGTGTCTTATCTAATGTACATAGTATTTATGCACTTTTCCCTTTTTATTAACAGGCATCCAAGCCATGGTGTCTTTCAAAAGTGTTGGCACTAAAACTTCCACCTACACAGAAATCCCCTTGTCCTCTACACCAATAAAGGGCCCAGGATTGGGACCTAGCAAGAGACCTCGACTAGAGTTGGAGCAGGAACAAGGAGAGACTTCGATTTAATTTGAAGAGACTGGATTTGAGTTACCACCCTGATGATACTGTAGAAGAATCTGACGTATCGTAAGTTTGGTATATTTGGTACACATTACTATTACTGTTGTTCAGAGTTGACATCTAACATGTATTGTTAATTTTGTTTTGTTACATTAGACTTCAGACACCATCCACGCACAGTGACGCAAAGTACATTGTGTTTGAAAGCTGCCTCGGACAGCTGTTTGAAAAATTTTCGTTTTGTAAGCAGGCTTGGAATTTCGTCATTTTAGGGGCAAGGCCATTTGGCCTTCCCGTTCACATTTTTTTCAAGGGCACAAAGGCCACATGACAGGGCAAAAAGGCCGTTTGGTTAAATTACGCTGGTCAATCAACATGACTGAAAAGTGTAGCACTAACGTCAACACCAGTCGTTTTACAAATGGCTGAATAGCAATAGTGTTTCTTTAACGTATACGTTAAGTTCAGCCATAAACCACATAAGTCAGTCATGTATTATATCAAAACCGCTTAGCAAGAAAAATACTAGATTCAAAGGTGACAGCTATCTGCTAGCTTGTAGAAGCAACACTAGATGTAGACCCCTTGAAGGGAAGACGTTAGCGCTATCCAAACTAGCTAGCTATCGCTAGTTTTCATGACAAAATGTAACGAGTCGACTTTAAATAGGCTAATACAATGGTAATTACCTATCAATAGTACTTTCTATAAACACGTAAATGTTAAGTCCTTTCAAATACTACCACATACTTCAGTTAAATCATATCAAAACAGCTTAGTCCGCATGCTTACCTGTGCTTGTCTTGCTCCCGCGGCTGAGGAGCAGGCTGTCGGGCCCCTACAGGCATTTCTGACGGAACAATCACAGCAGAGCAATCGCTCTGATCCACAGGCACGGGACTATCCTACTGCGCGCACTAATATGACTTTACTAGCGTTGTTTACACTGGAACTTTTGACAGGAGCACCAAGGCCACTTTGGCCGTGAATTGCATTTATTTTCACAGGGCATCACGGCCAAAGTGCGGGGCAACGACGGCCATGGCCGTCGTGGCCGTCGTGAAATTCCCACCCTGTTTGTCAGACAGACTGTGATGTCCAAAAACGAAAAAATGGGACTTTTGTGGCGTTCAAACAGTGTTGTCCAAACTGCACTTACTTCAGACAATGGGAGAGCCAGCCCATCATTGGAAGTACCCCGGTTGGCAACTTACAATTATCTGCTGCTACATACTTCACTGGTGCTTCCTTCTTCCAACTAAAAAAGGTATTTTACCATCTTACATCCATAGCATATGAAAAATGACAGAAGTGGACTTTTTCAAATACTTGTCCTGTTTTTCTATTTATTCATAGATATGCAGCTGGAGATCTTCCAGTATGAGACCTTCAGGAGGCATGCTAGGCATTATCTGGAGCCGATATGAGAGCAGACTCTCCAGGTAAGCAGAAACAGACAAGACAGTCTAATGCCAGAGTTACTGGTGTATATTACAATTCATCTACTTATCCATTGGAATTCTGTTGAAAAGTCTTGAAACCTCCTGTATTATATTTTCTTCAGGCCACTCAGCTAAGTTTGGGAGCTACACACTAATGCACCTGGGAAGCAACACCATTGTGGACTTCCAGCTTGTTCAGGTGGGATTCTCTTTCTGGGTGTAATTTTAGGCGTGCTGGCTGTTGATGCTGAACACTGAATTACACTGAATTATCTGTACAATGAAAGAATAAAAGAGAAATGAATAAGTGTATACAAATAATTAATTATTATATGAATGTTATATTTCAGTGTATGTGGGTGAGCTGATGAGGCTGGTGTTTGAAGAAGTCTTTGAGGACCCAACACCCTTTGTGGAGGAGATGAATAAAATCAACATCCCAAAGGACCTGTCCACTCAATTTGACAGGCCCTCAAAGGAGGAAGTGGTAGCCCGCCATGTCTCACGTTTTAGTCTAGGGGCGGTCGGAAGCCCACGTACTGTCCAGCCAGATCAGGGAACTCCTGGCGTATCCGGCGGACCACACACGACGGGATGACCACTCTGATTCCTCGTCCCAAAAAGCCCCAGCACCAGCTTACGAAGCTGCGATAGGCAAGATGCTGGAAACGCCTATAAGAGGAGGAATGGATGATAACATATATGTGCTGTCCTGTTTTTCACCCTTACCCTCTGGCTGCTTGAACAACTGAATTTCCCCACAGGGATTAATAAAGGTCCATCTTATCTCATACAGTGTATATATACACATGATCATTTTGTACATTTATCAGTCTGGTCACTGGGTGTGTTAGCAGAGTCTGTCCAGAGGAAGAGAATCATAGAGTCTGGATTCTGGGGAATAGGTTTCAATGAAGGTGAATACTCATCATATTCACCATCAGATCCAGACACTCTTCTCAGCCTGAAGAAGGAGCTCCAGAGGGTCAGAGTGGATCTGGACTGGAATGAAAGAAAGTTGTCGTTCTCTGACCCTGACACCAACACACACATACACACCTTCACACACACTTTCACTGAGAGGATGTTTCCATACATTCTCACTCTGGAGGAACTGAAGATATTACCGCTGAAGGTGTGTGTGACAGTGGATCAGAGCAGGTAGAGATAAACAGGATCATTATATCTGTGATGTTTATCTCTTAAAGGGATCGTTCACTGACCTCTGAACCTGTCCTCCTGCTGTCTTTTTACTCTAAACATGTTTTTATTCTTGCACTGTAAAACTTAATAAGTTGTGGTAACTTAGTATGCAAACTCGTTGCCTCACAATAAGTGAGTTAACTTAACTTAGAATGGTGAGTATGAACAACTTGTGTATTCTAAGTGTGCTTCAATTAATTTTGAGAAGTACAGCTGACACAAACCTTTTAAGTTATGTAAACTTATGTAAACTAAGTTATGTAAACTTAAAAGGCATGCTTTGCATTAACCTATTTTTTTTATTTGTGTGAACTCAATGAACTTAAATATACAAATCACCAGAACTTAACCCTTTTAAATTCTACTAACTCGTAATTTCCAAGGTTTACTATTAAATTAAACAAACTAATTCCTGCTAACTAAGATAATTGTACTACAACAAATCTCTAAACACGTTGTGTAAACTCCAACAATCTCCAAAAAGAATGCATTCAAAACACAAATTGATTCAATTGCAATATAACATTTATTTTCAAGTGCCAACAAACAGTGCTTTTTAAGTACTCAAAACCCTTATCTTAATAAAAACAGCAGTGCACAACACACCAATTGTAAAAATAAAAAATATATAATGACCACTATGAAGAAGAGTACATTGTACTTTGCTCTCAACAATTGAGAGTTATAACAGTTTCCCCAGAGTAACAAACTTTTGTCATAACATTTAACGGTGCAACTTTTTTAAGTGCCAAGTTCTATCTGATAGCTGATGACTATCTTGACTAAGGGCGTTTCTCAAAGTTAATAGTTTAGGTGAGAGAGCTTTGGTTCCCAGTCCAAGCATCACTGTTTGAACGAACCTCAGAGTATTTGCCATGCATTTTGGGTGATCTCAATGCAAAGCATATATCAGGCCAAATAATAGGCCTGTGGAAAGTTTTTGATCTCTTCTATGGAGTCAGATTTGGGTCAATATTCTAGCGCGTAAAACAAGCTACTCATGAGCGGGAAATGTGCTTTTACACGCGCATAAAATGACCCTCGCGCGCAGATTAAACCCCCGCGAGCGGCGCAGAGCCGCTCGCAGGGGTTTAATCTGTGCGCGAGTGTCAGCCTCGCGGAGTCTGTCTACGCGCGCGTGAAAAGTTTCTGGCACTTTGGGGCGGAGCCACTGGACTTTGATTGACAGCTGCCAGGAAACCCGGGGTTGCCAGGTTTGATAAATGCCTGAACTACCAAGAGCCGAGGAGTGACGGCAGCAAAATCAGTTGGACGAGATTGAATGGTAAAGTTGTCCATAAAAAACTATTATATTCGTAAAGTGTACAGCTAATATATATATATATATATATAAATGTATTTTATATAAAACAATATATTTTTGAGTGGGCTGTATCCGTCGAAAACTGCTAGCTACTGTCTGCTGTACGCACCTAGCTGTGGAATCGTTTTACAGTTCTTCTGAATGGCCTATAACTGAAGAAGAAAATTCCAGAAGTATTTGACGAACTGCAAACTAATGGCATTCTTACGGAGAAGACCAGGCTTAAACTTGTCAAAGTTTGCATCTCTGACTTGGTGGAGAGGCATTGTAGGTATATGAATGTGAAATGTGTGTATATATAATTGTTGCATTTAAGCGATATATTGGTTGTAAAAATTATTTTTTTATTTGCTTGATACAAAAGGACATTCTTTATTACCAATTGCTTTATTATCACGCATTTGTAATATTTGTATGCTAGAACTTTTTGTATTATTTTTGAAAAATTAAAAATAAATAGCTCACTTGTCATTCATTTTTATCCTTAATTATCCATCCAACACTGAAAAGGTGGTCCTTGTGAAGAATCTCATTACTATATTCCCTCAGCTGAAAGTCATTTACAACAATAGTTTGCTGAAGATTAAGTTTGTTTTAACCAAGGTATAACGTTTTTTTAGGTGTGATTTTATGAATTATCTATTCTGTCAACATTTGATGAATTAGAAAAATATTAATGTTTTTAAATGTTAACAATTATTTTCTTAATGACATATTGTGCTAATGAAATCCTTGTAAATAAATGTCCAATGAATGTATTCTTGCATTCGATTTTTTGAATAAAAACCATATCCACCACCTGGTACTTCCAGTAATCGTCATTGACACACAATGTGCAGATATAACACAATCAAATGTTAATTCTGGTTAAAGAAATATAACACAAAATGTGCAGAAATAACAAATGAGTGTGTTCATCTTGGTTACACATTTATGACACAATGTGTAAAATGTGCACATTGTGTGTTAGGGGCATGTAACACATTTTGTGTGTAAAAATGATTTACACATAAATAAACACAACACGTGTTGTCAGGCCCGCCTTAACCTGCCATCAGGCCCTGGGGCTGATGGTTTTGTAGGCCCCCTATTTAAACAACAAATCAAAGTCATTTATAGCCTCGGCAGGCTCTGTGATCGCACTTCTCCACTCTGCTCTATGCGCGCCTGGTCCTCTCCTCCAGATGAGTGACGTATCGGGCCTCCCTCATGTATCTGTCCGGTTGCCGTTGGCTCCCCTCCACGTAGCAAGTCCTCGTCGTCCTCTCCATCTCCTCCAACATCCCTCCTGTCTGTTTTTCCTCTCTCGCTACTCCATCGCTATCAGAACCAGACGGCCTACTTGGCTCCGAAGCCCCGCGGCCGGCACCGCTACCGCTCGGTACAGAACTAATCTGTCCTTCCTCCTCATCCTGGCCTACAGGTTTAAAATAACCTGTAAGCTTCGGCATTTTTTGTAATAGCTGCTTGTCTTGAAACTCCTTTTCCCTCAACAATTTCCTTTTCCGAGCGCCACTCTCAAACTTTTTCTTCTCAAACTTTTTCTCCTAAACAACCTTCATCTGTCACTCAATCACTCGCAATTTGAATAAGTCACATGTGAAACATATTCTCATTCTGATTGGCTGTTAAGTGGTGCCCACTGACTGTTACGGAGTCATCTCTGGAATCCATCGATCTGATTGATTAGCGGAGCAAATGATCAACATATTACGGAGGGAAGATATTTTCGTTTGGATTACTGGTCTGGGGGAAGCTCACACGTGTGTGTGTGTGTGTTTTTGCATTTGTGTGTATTGTGTTTGTTTCCCGGGGAAAACACTCACGAGAAACACCGGCTGTTGTTATGCCTGCTGTGACGTCAAGTTACTCCGTTCTCCGCTTGTAATTATGCCGTTACAAGCTTCAACGTTGTATTTATCATCTGAATTTGCCGAAAGAAGTTTAATATTCTGAAAGCCAAGACTTTGTTTATTTGAAACCAGATGAAAACAAACTGTAACGGACCCTGCCGTGTTATCTATGATTACTATACTCTTATAATTTCAGCCGGAGGGAGGGGGAGTGAGTGGCGAGTGAGAGCTGTCATCTTCCCTTTACAAGCTTCAAAAATGTATTTATCGTGTGATTTTGGAAATAAAAGTTTCATATTCTGAAAGCCAAGACTTTGTTTATTTAAATGTTTTTTAAAAACATCCGAAATAAAAAACTATTTTATTTTTATTTACTTTTTTAAAAAAAACTTTTTTATTGGCTCATGATCGGCCCCTGATCTCCGTAGGCCCCTGGGCTTCAGCCCAGGTCAGCCCGTGCATTAAGGCGGCCCTGCGTGTTGTCCCTGAGCACACTCTGTAGGCGTGTTGAAATTCAACACATGTTGTGTCATTTTTGACACATCCCTTCTAAGAGTGTACAGCAGACAGTAGCTAGCAATTTTCGACAGATACAGCCCACTAAAAAATATATTGTTTTATATAAAATTAATTTATATATATTATATATATATATATATATGCAATTTTCGACGGATACAGCCCACTCAAAAATATATTGTTTTATATAAAATTAATTAATATATATATATATTAGCTGTACACTTTACGAATATAATAGTTTTTTATGGACACATTTACCATTCAATCTCGTCCAACTGATCTTGCAGCTGTCACTCCTCGGCTCTTGGTAGTTCAGGCATTTATCAAACCTGGCAACTCCGGGCTTCTTGGCAGCTGTCAATCAAAGTCCAGTGGCTCCGCCCCAAAGTGCCAGAAACTTTTCACGCGCGCGTAGACAGACTCCGCGAGGCTGACACTCCCGCGAGCGAGCAAGAGGGCTGGTTTAATCTGCGCGCGAGGGTAATTTTATGCGAGTGTAAAAGCACATTTTCCGCTCGTGAGTAGCTTGTTTTACGCGCTAGAATATTGACCCAAATCTGACTCCATATCTTCCATGACAATACCTCCCTCAAGCACAATGTCAGTGGAGATGGGCTCGAGTTGCATTGAGCTCGGACCCTCCTGAGGACTGTCTTCGCTGAGAACAGTCAGCACACCAACAGTGACGGATGATAGGGCCTCATCTCTCGTTGTATCCTGCAAAGAAAAACATATTATTTAGACTATCATCGCTACCTATTAGAGTAGGTCTTCCTATGAAAACATTCATGTTGCATTTGCATTAAAGTCTTTGCTAAAAAATGTAGCTGAAGTACACACTCAAACTGCATTGTAACATTATATCCAAACAGGTGCTGTAAATGTGGTGTGAGGAAA